TATATATATATATATATATATATATATATTGATGGAAGAGCATGGACCAAGGATCTAACCACTAGAGCTATGGTCAGGAGACTACTGGAAGATTTGACTGTTTCAGAGCTTGGTAGGCTCAATGGGATTGGTGGGCCTAGGGTACTCTTCACATGGGCTTTGCATTGACCACCACCTTTATTGTGTTCTTAAGTAGTATAGGGTTGCATATTTTGGTCTTGTATTTTGGACCATTAGTATAGAAGTTTTGGGCCTTAGGCTTCATGGGCCTAGTTTTTGGGCTTCATGGGCCTTTGGGCTTTTGATACCCAATATGGGGCTCATTTTAATTCTTGTAATTTTTTCCATTGATTGTATTTGATTGGCCATTGTAATTAGGCCATTAGAATAGGGTTTTAAGGGGAGATACATAATAGGCATGGATAATAGCATCTTAATTACATTTAATAGTAATTAGAGTTGCATTTGAGTCACATGTTTTGTGCCAAAGGTGGTTGCACATGTGACTAATCAAATGAACCCTAAATTACACTTAAATGTAATTAGGATTCTAGAATGGGACGGCCACATGGGGTGACATGGCTTGCATGTGCAACTTTGAATTCAAATTTTGAAATTTGAATTCAAAATTGGCGCTAACATGAGCACCAAGAAGTGGTGCCAATTTACACGGATCCTTGGCCTATATATGCATGCTCCCACTCATTTGTAGACACTTTGATTGATATATGAGAATTTCTAAAAATTTCTTCAGTCGAGTTCTCTCTTAATGTCCCTTATCCGAATCTTAGGTTCTAGGAATTCTCTCTAGGCTCAAACTATTTTGTGAGTAATCCTTTACTCACTTTGGCATTGGTGCTTCCCTCCTTCACTTTGCTCGGATCATCCTTTCATTCTAGCTGGAGTCAACGTCCAGCCATCCTCAAAGAGAAGATCAAGTGGCCGTGCAAATCAAAAATGAAGAACATCAATCTTCTTCACTAGGATTTTCCATTATATATATATATAGGTGACCATACAGCCACAAACACACTCTATTCCTTCATGGATGGGTACTCTGGATATAACCAAATCAAGATGAATGTGGAAGACCGCGAAAAGACTTCCTTCATTACACCCTGGGGTACTTTCTGCTACAGGGTAATGCCTTTTGGACTCAAGAATGCGGGTGCCACCTATCAACGAGCGATGGTGACGTTATTCCACGATATGATCCACAAAGAAATTGAAGTATATGTGGATGACATGATCGCAAAGTCAAAAGATGAGATGGACCATGTCCAATATTTGAGAAAATTATTCAATCGGCTTCGCAAGTA